TATTTTTTAAAAAATGACAGATTTGATATCGTAGGTTATGTTTATTTTTTATGAAAAAATTTGAATAACGAGAAAACAACGAAAATAATAATACCTTACAAAAGCATTGGTCATTCTTCTCACTGTTCGTTCCGAAATAATTAGAATGTACGATAGAAGGTAAAAACACCGTAAGCAGAATCAATATTCTAAACATATTTTCACTGAGTTTGCTCGTCATAATTAAATTCACTGGTATACCTCTCGATCACGTTCTCGTATTGATAAATTATTATCGCGCGTCACCGCGATACTAACTGGTGGTGTTTCCACTTTTTATAACATCGACTAGACTACGTGCTGCCAGAAACGTGCATAAATTGTCCTGTCAAAAGTAAACTTTATTGACGCTTTCATTGTATTGTCCACCGATTAGCTATTTTCCGCAAGATATACAGAAATTCACTTCTATTTATGCAAGTGTTATATTTTTCGATCTATCACATATTCGAATCAAATTGAAATGTAATGATTTATCAAACAGCTGGAATATTTATTCCATTTACGACAGACGATATGTAATCTCACGTACGTGACAACAATCACGCTGTCACAGACACGTATTTTTCTTACTCTCTTCCAGCTAGTAATATTGCAATGTTTAACCAATTATTGTACGTTATATAATAATTGTAAAAATAAAATGAAAAACATTGAATTAAAGAAATATTGACGTACAGTGAATTTTGTACTAATACGTAATAAACTTTGTACTAATACGTTCAAATGAAAATGTTTGTAGATTTTAAATTTATCACTATGATTGCATAATAATAATAAATATGTACCTGATTTAAAAATGCTCGACTTACATCCAAACCCGGAATAACGTTAATAGAACTTCATTTCTACGAATATATATTATTATATGTACATATATGTAAAATACTGTTTCCTCCCCTCTTCTCAGCCAATTACATCCAAATTTAATTCCACGTGTGCTAATAACATTTGTTACTGAGTCTAAATATCAAACATATTTCTATTATTACATCATTTTTTTTATAAGACATTTGATATAATTATTACTTGGAAGATATTTGCCTTTTATTCGAAATTTTTTAATAAAGACTGAAGATTTTACACAACGTTTTAAATATTAAAATACGAGAAAAGCTAATGTGAACTTTATTTACAAGCGTTCTTTCCTTTAAGAAGATTGTATTTTTTTTTCTTATTTTTTTACTATTTTTTTTATTTAAGATTCTTATAATCTGCCTATCTATATATGTTTTATTATATTATACATCGTTCTAGTACTTTAGAATGCACTATATTATATTGAAAAAAATATGTGCGCGCGCGTATATATACTTGCATATACGTATATCTTAATATATGCGTACAATAAACAAACATAAAATCCATTTTAATGTTAAAATAAAATTGTACAAAAATATAAATTGATATTCAAAACAATTCTTATTCTAATTAATCAGTACCGTTCATGGTATTGTTTGTATTCATTGGCGTAGACTTATTGTGGTATAGGACATGTCAAAACTTTATGCGAAGGTGCCGATGGTTAGTTGTCATTAAATAATAATATTTGTAGTTAAAATCAACTTGTATTGAGACATAAGTTTAAATATGGTTTTCCAAGTTTTTCAAATTTACAAAATCTTTTGTACTGTATTATTTTCACTGACATCATATAAATTTTAATAACCTATACAATGTTTGAATTGTCAAGGAACGTTTTGAAATTTACCATATATATAAATATCTACAGGATTACGCATTAAAAATATTTGAAAACATCTATACAATGGTACTGTTGCTTTAATCCACTAATAATAAATATTGCTATTTTTCAACGATTAAATATCAATTTTTCAATTATGCAGTAATAATTTTTTCCTAAAGAAAATTATAAATTATTTGTTAACAAGAATACTTTCATGGATAATATTATCGCATGTTTAAATGTTCAGTGTAACATAAATAAAAATGTATTTAATTATATACATTATGTTATTTATGAAGAAACAATATTGTAATAATTATAATTAATGATAATAATAAGACTTTAGCATATAAACATCAAATTTAAGTTTATTTTTTGGTAAATTATATATTCGCACATACAGGATAAAAATCAGTTTATGTTTGAAGATAAATGGCCATGTATGAGACCAACTATTTTGAAATTACTGAAACAAGAACCTGTTACTCAAGCAGAATGGCAAGATTTATTCTTCTCAGTTCATGCAGTGTGTATGTGGAATGACAAAGGCGCTCTTAAATTGTTAGATGCACTCAAGGAAGACATAATGGATTTTATAAAACAAGCTCAACAGGTACAAGCTTGAATTATGATTTCTAAATACATAAATAAATGTTTTTACTAACAAAAAAAAAAAAATCATTGTTTTGTATATTTTAGAGAGTTTTGGCACACCAAGAGGAGCAAGCTTTGTTGAAAGCATATATAGCCGAGTGGAGAAAATTTTTTGCACAGTGTAATTATTTGCCAACTCCATTTAGACAATTAGAAACGTCTCTTGCTGGAAAGGCACCATCCAGTGTTCAAAAGAAAAGTCAACCTGATGATATTGTTAGAAAAGTAAGAATTTCTTTTCAAATTTTTCTGTGTATAATTTTATAATTTGCTTTTTTTGTTATTAAAGTTAATGTTAGATAGTTGGAATCAAAGTATATTTGGAGAAATAAAACAAAAACTTCAAGACTCAGCTATGCGACTTGTTCGTGCTGAAAGAAACGGTGAAGCATTTGATTCGCAACTTGTTATTGGTGTTAGAGAATCTTATGGTAATGAACTTTCTTCTTTTATACAAATTATATCATAGTGTATGTATCATAAATTCAAAATTGTGTTAAATTATGTTACAGTAAATTTATGTTCAAATACAATTGATAAGCTTCAAATCTATACAGAAAATTTTGTAACAGCATATATAGAAGCAACAGAAGCTTTTTATTGGGTTAAAGCACCTGAACAATTATCATTACATGGTGTAGAAAATTATATGCGTTATGCTGATGCAAAGTTACAAGAAGAAGAACTTCGTGCCCAGAAATACTTAGAACCAAACAGTGCTAGTGTACAGCTTTTAACTGATTGTTGTGTACGTGTGTTAGTAGCAACTTTTAAACCAGCTATATTAGCAGAATGTCCAAGAATGATTCAGCATCGTCAAACAGATAGTAAGTGTAATATTATTTGAATTATATTTCTAACAACATTACTGTAATAAAATAAATTATAATACAAAATAAATTACAATTATAGAACTTAGATTAATGCTAAAACTAATGGATAGAGTTCCTGAAGGAGTTGGTCCAATGTTAAGAAATCTAGAAGAACATATAGCAAGTGCAGGTTTAGCTGATATGATGGCAGCTGTGGATGTTATTACTCAAGATTCTGAAAAATATGTTGAAAGATTATTGGATCTTTTTCGGCGGTTTTCAATTCTTGTTAAAGAAGCGTTTGACGATGATCCTCGTTTTCTAACTGCTAGAGATAAAGCTTACAAACTCGTAGTAAATGATGCAACAGTATTCAGATTAGAATTACCTGCACGTCAATGTTCTGGTATTGGTACAACGATTTTAAATAATAAATCTAACAACAATAATAACGGGCAACCAGAATCAAAGTGTCCAGAACTTCTAGCTAACTACTGTGATATGTTACTTAGGAAAACACCACTCAGTAAAAAATTAACTTCCGATGAAATTGAAAGCAAACTAAAAGATGTAGTATGCATCTTATCTTACATACACATTTCTAGTACTTAACATCATTTTATCTTGCACTTATCTTATATTGGTTTTATTTTAGTTATTAGTATTAAAATATGTTCAAAATAAGGATGTATTTATGCGCTATCATAAAGCTCATTTAACGAGGCGTTTGATATTGGATACATCTGCTGATTCTGAAAAAGAGGAAAACATGGTAGAATGGCTTCGTGAAGTTGGAATGCCTGCTGATTATGTTAATAAATTAGCACGAATGTTCCAAGACATTAAAGTATCACAGGATCTCAATCAACAATTTAAGGAACAATGTAGAGCTGCTATTGCAGATAGTATTAACATTAAAGTATGGATTAAGGCGTTATAACAATATTTTGACTTATGTATCGTTAAATACTATTCTGAAATAAACATTAATATAATTTATTATAGATATTAAATGCAGGTGCTTGGGCTAGAGGTAGCGAACGTGTCACTGTAAGTTTACCACTACAACTAGAAGACTATATTCCCGAAGTGGAAGAATTTTATAAAAAAAAACATAGTGGAAGAAAATTACAGTGGTATCATCATATGTCTAATGGCACGGTAAGAAAGAAACTGTCTTGTCAAAAAATACTAAAAAGAGATACTTTTACGTATTGTATCATGACGTACTATGAAAAGTGTTGATCCAATTTAATAACATTGTTAATACAATTTTGACTATAATGTAAATTATATGTATTTATTAAAACAGAATAATATACATTTTTTTGATGCAGTAAACGTGGGTATACAATAAAATTTTTCAAAAAATTCAATATCTCGGTTCTAATTTTCAGCTTCACCTTGCAACCAATTTGGATGGTGTTCCAGATAACATTTTCTAATCAAGTGGGACGCTTCGATGTGGATGTAACAACGTTTCAAATGGCAGTTTTATTCGCTTGGAATCAGCGGCCGTTTGAAAAAATATCATATGAAAATTTACGACTGGCTACGGAACTTCCTGATCCTGAACTGAGACGAACTTTATGGTCTTTATGTGCCTTCCCGAAACTCAAACGCCAACTTCTTCTAGTTGAACCACACGCGCATAGTCCCAAAGATTTTGCAAATGATACAAGATTTTGGGTGAATCAAGAATTTGCTATTGTGTTAGTAATATTTTTTAAGAAATCATACGCTAATTCACGTTACTTAAATCACGTATAATCAATTCTTATTTTTAATTAGAAAAAATGGTAAACTGCAGAAACGAGGTAAAATTAATTTAATAGGAAGACTTCAATTGTCAACTGAACGAAGTAAAGAAGAAGATAACCAATCCATCGTACAACTTAGAATACTAAGAGTTCAGGTACAATTTTTATACAAATAACTTTCTTCTTGTATCTTTCGATAAGTAAAATTAATGATACATGTATATTTTTTAATAGGAAGCAATCATCAAGATTTTGAAAATGCGTAAAAAAATCAGTAATGCCCAGTTACAAACCGAATTAGTTGATATCTTAAAGAACATGTTTCTGCCAAGTAAAAAGATGATAAAAGAACAAATTGAATGGCTTATCGAGCATAAATATATACGTAGACACGACGATGACATTAATACCTTTGTGTATATGGCATAGGTCGGGAATATACATGTAATACTGTTCAGATTCTTATGATTGATATTATATTTTTATAAAAATTCAGTTCTTGTTTATGAAAATGTATGCTCAAAAATCCCAGTGTAACTGAAAAATGTTAATGTTGTTTGTAACATGTTCACAAGAAACACATTTTTTAAATGAGAAGTTAATAACGTCATACAGAGTCATATCATTTATAAATTATGATTAAATATGATATCGCCTTCGATCGTGAAAATATGCTTTGTTAAATAGGTAATTGTAATATTTTTAAAATTCAAACCGTAAAACCGTTTTTTTTTCTTTCAAACAAACTTGATCAAAGGTTCATTTAAAGACATCTGTGGAAAAAATATACGAGTTTAAAAGTCTTTGATTTATTATATTTATGTTATCTTTTGCTTTCAATGTAACTATAATTTCATTAGTGTGTTTTATACTTTCTGTTTCATTTAAGAATAAAATAAATTATTTGAAATATTATAAACTCGTCACAGATGTATTTAATTTTGAATCGTAATGTTTATGTATGCAGTATGTACATTACACATTTTAATATATGTCTAAATGTATGAATATGTTTATTTACTGCAAGTGTATATATTTTCGAAATATGATTGTTTTTCATTAACTTGTTTGAATTGTAAAAAAAGTAAAAAGTACATAAATTACAAAACTTTTTTATATATTTTTGGCATTCTGTTTTTATCAACTATGTTATAATTCTTTAAACCCATGTATAACTATTAGTTTTCAGTTGCAAAAATTGAAAATGAACAAAAATTCATACAAAGGGAGAATATTAAAAAATGGCCTATATCGTTATATATAAATATAAGATTATAAAATTTTAATTCTTTTATATTTTAATAATAAAACATTGTATAATCCCTGTACTGAAAAAATTTTACACATCTGTATTGTAAACGATAAAATTTTGATCCAACACATACATTACTAATAACATTTATATGTATAAAGCTTTTATATTATTTCAATGTGCGATTGACAAGTGTAAGAATGAATAATTTCAAAATTAAAAAAAAAATAAGATTTTTATATTTTTCGATGTATTTTATTATATTTTTCCTAAAAATATTATTTTAAAGTATATAAATATTCACGAATAAAATAATACCAGGCTGGAGCAAAAATCTAAAATAACTTAAATTAAATAATTGAACAAATAAGTTTGAAAAGACATTTCTTTATTTTATCTATAGACATAAAAAACAAGTTTTGAGTAACATATTTATTCACACAAAAGTAATTTGCTATAACATATTTATAAACTTTCAACAACTCTATATTACGATAAATCTTACATTGATATGAAATATTTTATGCAAGTGGGAACATTATATACATTTACATACACGTATGCGTAACATTGTGTAACATTGCTGTTACAAAAAAATAATAGTAGCACTAATGCATTTTGAACAATATGTAATTTTTTTTATTGTAAAGAATTTTTTCTGAAATGATAATACTATCTATAATTTCTCAATTTTATTAATTATATATATCCTAAAATTTATTTTTTTTCTTAATGGAAAAAATCATTAACTTTAATCTTCATTAATTAAAATATGACAGAAAGCAGTGTCACTGATCATACAGTATCATTTCATATTGCATGGTACATTTATATAATCACATCTATGTACATTAAATATACCAATGTTGTTTAAACTTATCACACACACACACACATCCACTTTGTAACAAATTATATTTTTCCGAGTTAATCTTGCTTGAAATTCTGAGATAATTTACCAAGTATTTAATTCTAATTGCCTTTTCTAAGATCATAAATTTTATATATCTCCTTTAAAAGTATTTATAACATCGATACTTCGAGTAAAACATTAATATCACTAATTTCAATATTTTTTTTATCCTTGATATTTTAATGTTAGTTTTATTAGTTTTTATAATTGTAAGCATCTAATATTTTAAATTGTGTTTTTAAATTAAAAGAGAATAAGAATTGGTGTAAAGTTATTCCGAAATATTATGTAGATTTTTCTAATACTTTATTTGTACGTTAGTTAATATTCGATGATTTTTTAAATTATTTCATTATATCACGTATTTTTATTTGTTTATAATGTCAGCATAAAATATTTTTTATCTGCAAATGAAAACATAATTTTTAATAAAATATTTGTTACATATTTATTATCTTTTCAAATACTTACATATATTAGTATGAGCAAAACACATTTACAGATTATTTCCTGCGAGTCTGTGATCACAAATTAAAGTATCAATTTTGCAATATTGCAATACAAATTTTTGAATGTTGAATATCATTGCTTGTAATGCCACTAATTGCTTCTTGGATGGATAAATAATTCATTGTCGAAGAATGGACAACATTTCTAACAGAGCTGTTTATGAATGTTCCGGACAACGCGTATGTTGTATACGTGGAGCATTTTTCATAGGATTTGTTTCACAAACGTGCACAACTATACCAGGTTGTCCTGAACCTCCAGGATGCAATTCATGACTACCTCCTGTAAAATTATTTACATACTTGATATATTTATATAACGCATACAATATATATAACACTACAAACTAATCAAATGACAGAACCTGCAGATAAATTTGCAATAGCTGCCAATAAATCATGATTGACTAAAGGTTCACTTTCCTCCCTAGGCTCCCATCCGACAGGTGGTGAAGCAGGTGGTGAAATTAGGAACTGTTTAGTTAATGCTGGTGGATGAAGGTGTTGATCTTCTACATCTAAAAAATATATTAAATATTATATTTATATTATAATATACTTAAAATTGATAAAGTTGTTAACAATTTTTGTAAAAAACACTACTATACAAACCTATTGGAGTAACAGGTTGTGCAAAATAACAATTGATATTGGTCTCACCAAAGTGAGTTTGATGTAACTGTATCCTAGCATTAGCTGCTGCATTTGGAGAACTATAATTTACTCTCATTCTTCTAAATGATCTGAAATATTGAAATGTAGCATCTTTCCCAAACTGCTTGAAGAGATTTTGTATTTCTTGCTGTAGAGACAAAAATATGTAGAGACACATATATGTTTATTAAACATTGAGTTTAGTGCATTGAATTTTATTATATATTTTCATCACCTTTAGTTTATCATCTTTAAAAACTCTGGAATCTACATTAGTTACGATGACTGACGTTGGTAAATCTTCATCATGCACCAAGTCTTCGATAGATCTTGTATTTGTATCAGAATGACTTTTTTCAACATCAAATTCTAGGCCCAATTGTTGATAATTAGGATGTAAATTTGGTAATCCATCAACTTCATTTATAATTATATTTTCTGATTCCTCTAATTCTTCATCTTCCACTAAATTAGAACCATGTTTCTTCTCCATATCTGTTTTATGCTACAAGTATTGAATTGTAATTTATTTTAATTTATACACCAGTGTAATAACTTTAGAAATAAATATCATTCATTTTCTTATGAATTTTTTGTACAATATCTATCAAATAATATCCTAAGCACATAACTCTCATTTATTTCTATATATTTGTCTACAAAAAAGCAATACAGCTTTATCATAAATGTAATTTTATGTATTAAGTTAATATTGTAGATAAGAAAATAATTTTTTGTTATAATTATTTCTGTTACTTTCTTACTCAATGATTTCTAACTTATTATCAACACTTGAATAATACTACAGTCTGTCTACCAAGTATGCACACTGTTAATTAAACTATTATATCATAACATGTAATTTTTAAGTCACTTGAACAGTGTATATTTCT